GGTCCTGTTTTAATTAAAACTAACATAACCAGATTTTATCTTAAACAAGGGTCATCCACTCCCAACAATCTAATGGGGAGAGTTAAGACAATATAGGAATCATGTGTGTTCCGGGCAAGACCCTCTGTCCCTTTTCGAAGGGTTGGAAATTGGCATATTTGGTTTTTCACAGAAAGAGACTGGAGCCAAAAGTGTTGCCATGACAACAACGGAGAAGGTGTCATTCTGTTTCTTTTGCGATGCACATTTGTGGTGCCAAGTTTGAAGAACACTGCTCCAATATTTCTAGAGATATTCTTAATTTAGTGTTTTACTGTTCAAGTGGAACCACCTATGACGTCATCACTTTCCTCATTTACATAATACAAAAACGTAAATATCTCTAGAACGAAAAAAGATAATCCAAAAAGGGAAACGCCATTCTTCTTAACTTTGAAAAGCCTTTCAAATAAGCGCAATTATTTTTTACTTCATAGGCACTTTAACCTGGACCTCTCCCAAGATTCTGCTCCATGTGTAATCATTGTTTGGCCAGAGATCCTTAAGAAACTGCTTTTCACTATATATGACTGTATAAACACCCGCTAACCTCCACTCGTTACGTGAACCCGAAACAGCGTTTAGGCCGTTTCAAAGCGATTCCAGTATTATTATTTTATATATCACTTTTGCTTACCACTTTGCAGCTGAATTTTCATTGCATCATTTTACCTTGGGAGGGAAAGGAAAAAGACATTTAATTTGTAAGAGTAGAGACATAATAATATCTAAGAACTGACTTACAATATGAAAATTGGTAACCAAGATCTAGAATATAGCCACAAAGTGTTAGAATGAAAAAAACATTATTGCGTTCGGAGAACGCAACTAATTTTGACCTGTGGCTTTTTAGAGTTGGTTCTCCTATGTTAAATGCAGAGAAAGAATACACATTCCTGCAAGGGCATCGAAATGGCCACCCGACCGCGCTTAATTTTTGCAGGGGCATGTCACGGCCAGTAAACTGGTACCGTTACTACCGTTACTACCGTTACAAGTGACGACCTGATATGAGCATTTTGCGCTGGATCTTCTTTCCATTCAGTCGCCGTAGGCTTCGCTATTTTGTGCTTTCAGCGTCGTATTTTGGTGAATTTAAACGCTTCAACGGTAGCATATATTGAAATCTGAGGGAATTGTCATTGTTTATTTTATATGCTCACGAACACGACTTTGAATCGTCTTGGCTTTGCGACGTTAACCGTGGGAACAACTATATTTCATTGGCTGTATTTTGATTGCATTTGATTAGTTCCAGTTGCGGCAGATAGTTCAGTCTTCATCTGGGTGAATATTGTTTGGAATCGGTGGAAAAGTACTCTGAAGCCAAGATCCATCAGAGTGAACCTGAACCAAGGATACTGTCTACTTTGTTCACGAGGGGAAGTACTTGAATCACACGGAGTTTGTTTTCGATAAACGAGCACGTGATTACTTATACTTGTGCTTCCAGCTTAGAATAATGTACATAAAAAATATACTTTCACAAATTAGCTTTTACGCTTAAACATTACCAGTTAACGTGAGAATATTTAGCACGAAATTTGAAGGCTAATGCAAATATTTTAGTTGTGAGTATACGGAAACTGGCGCCGTCACGCAACGTATCAACAAATCGTAGTTTTATTTAATACAGGGGTCCTCTTAAAACTGGCATGAACTTTGACACTATGATATATCTGTCTGTAAAACCTCGGTTGTTAATGAAAAACGGTGATTTTAGAACCGTGAGACAGAGGTTGAAAGTGGCTTGGTTTTCCTCATTTTTGCTGAGGTATCTATTACTAGTTTCCAAGCCTTATTGTTTCATCGTGAGTAGAAGACTGGGGATATATTTCAGCCAATCAGTGTTTACCGCGTAGAAAATATAAATGGCGGCAAAACAGTTGTTGTGGTGAAAGAAGTCACTTGTCAGAATTTATTTAACACATTGTTCCCTAGCCTTTTACCAACGAGTGAATGTTTTATGTTGGACTAATATACCGCGCTGAGGAATTATGCAGTTTGATGTGAGGAGGTGAGAGGTCCTAGTTCGTGATTATCCAGTTTTTCATGTGTATGAATTGTGCTTCCGTCATAAAATTCTGCACAGCTAAAATACCGGCCACGTGTCAAAACATGTTGGCGTGTAAATTTAGCAGCTGAAGTAAAAAGAAACCAACACTTTACGCCTTGATGAAAAGAAGACGAATTATGTAAACTTACGCTCAATGTATAACCATTTATTAGTGTATTAACCGAAGTTTAACGCATATAAGCTTAATGCGGCAGTTTGAGACATTAAAATTTAAAATTCAAGCTTACTTTCTTATTCAAATTTACAGAAGAATCACAACTGAGCGAGTTCGCTTTGTTAATTGTGGGATCAATGAATTCGAATTGAATTGAAAGCAGAGGGCTCAATGGCTTTAAATTGGATTTAAAGGTTTAATGTTTTGCAGCGGCATTAAAACTAGGTAAACATTTCCCAATAGGTTAGACGTTAGCTGAGACCGCTGAACTAAATGCGAATAAGCTTACTTTCTGTACAATGTAAATCCCCTGAATATTGGTACTGGCTATTATTCTTGTACATTGAGAAGTCGCTCTTGACTTCCTCTGCTCTGGCAATGGCCTGTAATGGGATGTTTAATACTTAGTTTGTACTTGAGATTGTTCATTGTTATTGATTATTTTGACCAATCCACTGACAATAATTTATTTAAGAAATAGAAAACATGTACCGTGTTTCTGTAGAGTTATAGAAACACGAGTGGAAGTTTTTTGAGTTCTCTCAAACTTTCATGAGTGTTTCTATTAAGCAATTAGATTATGAGCTTGAGATTTCTATCGCATGATAGTTGACGAGGGCACAGCCTGAGTCAACTATTACGCGATAGAAATCTCGAGCTCATAATCTAATTGTTTTAGTATAAATCTGCTAGTCATTCAAAACTTTATTTAAATCCTCTTCACGGTCACTTCGAAAACGCCAAGAAACGGCTGTCATTTTGTTAACAAGGGCACACTGCTACATTACTATCTATCACAGAATAGATAGTGAGTAGTGTAGCCAATCAACGAATGGCATTCATGATAGGACGCTAGGAGATTTATACTAAAACTCAGTAGAAATATGGAGAAAATGTTTCCATTTCTTTTCGAAAACACCGTGATGAAGAAAAGAAGGAAAACAAGTTACTTGTTTACTTTGATCATCAAGATATAAATTCTCTTTGCTCGTGCCATCATTACGTCAACAGCTTGTGCTAGTTCTGTGTTTCTACTGAGTTATAGAAACACAATTTTTAACCAATCAGCACACGTTTTTTCTTGGGGCTGTTTTCTAAAATGATATACTAACCAAACATGAGGGCCATACTGGGGAATATTAGCCTGAGGTCTTTGCAGTATGGATCTCGCTGCGCTTGGTCTGTACAAGACCGTGAACTGAGGGCCATTATTCTCCAGTACAGCTAGAGCAGCTAGGTCATTTAGTTAGTAGTTTATTACATGGCACTTGATGCATGTTTGAGACCTTGCTGCATTGACCTCGCTATCAATCATATAGTTCATATTGACCACGCTCGGTCAATACAGCAAGGTCAAGGGTTGAGTGTGGAGCCTTGGAGCTTGTCCTGGTTTCTGTGGCATGAAGCGTCTAGGAGTATTTCTACTCCCCCTGGATGGGATGCTAGTCCATCGCAGGTCACTCCCCCATAATTTGTAAGGTTTCCCGACAATTCCCCAGTACCCATAGAAAGGCACTGTGAGAGATAAGTGTCTTACCCAAGAACACAACACAGTGTCCCCGGCCAGGGCTTGAACCCGGACCACTCGCTCCGGAGTCGAGTGCACTAACTATGAGGCTACTGCGCTTCCACTTAAGGTTTGAGACTTTCCCTTATAGACCAAATGTTTGATGTTAATAAGCTTTTTATTATAAGGCTATTTGATTTGTTTTTGCAGGCCCATAATCAGCCCATGGGCATTACGAGAGAATAATGTCCTCGAATAAGTCAATCAGAGTATGCTATATAGGCCACAAACACAAACCATATAAAAAATATTGATAATGACATGCTTTTGAATCAGATTCTAATTATTGATTACTAGAGAGTGACTAATTCATTCACATTCTTCACTAAGAAAGCTGATCAGGAATGAAATGAAAATAGGTTAAAAACTACTGTCTTACTGTCAGAGGTTTTTGTCTATGCTGTGTTTAAATGTCAGGCAGCCAGACAGCGATTATAAAGTACTCTGTCCATTTATGACTATACTGTATGTATATACCATGTTATCATAACCATGTGATTGTTTACCCTAGTCCCGATAGTGCCAAACAATGGCACAAAATGCTTAGCATAGTAAGCTTTGGATTAATATTCAATCAATTTGTATGAAATTTGGACACCAAAAAATATACAGGGTTTTCAAATTTAGCCGGTGCCCGGCGCAAGTTACCAGCTACTTCAAGCATTTGCGCCGGGTACTTTTTTTATTTCAAATGTTATTAAAGACACAATTCTGTTTTACCAGTGTAATCGTGATCTGATCTTTTTGAGGAAGTAAATAAACACTAACAGATGAAATAAATAAATAAATATTAAATAAATAAATAAACAGTATGGCTATTATGTACCTTTCGAACCTCAAAGCAAGAGCATTTTTGGCGGAAAATCTGCTCGTGTACTCAGACTGAAATTTGCATGTATTGGTGTAGTGGCAGATTTCCTCTCAAGTCATGCGATGTAATACGTACTGTACTCATGGAAATGTAAAAACATACTGTACCATTTTGTAAAACTTTGAAAGCAACTAATTTTACTAAGTTTACTAATTTTACTAACCCTTGTTAATAACTGTACAGTGGCCTTCAACAAAATCAGTTATGGGTGCAAAAAAGGCATGTTAGAGGGGGCGGTGTTCCTCTCCAGCATCCTACCCCACAGGAACGCCATTATCATGGCACAATAGTGCTCTGGCTACTTTACAATTTTCTCTTTTTACCTTTTTCAATTTGAAAATCCTGATATATCTTTGAGAGATCAACATGCAGTACATGTATTGGAAGAATAATTATAATCATGTCCCCTCTTACATGTTTGTCAGACTTGACTAACCATCCCCTCAAGTTTTACAACTTTTGCTTTTTACACTTTAATTTATGGTCAATAATATCTGATAAAAACCCACATACCAAGAACTGCATTAAGCTATCATTTAGAAGGGCTCGCAAAAGGGGCTCACAAAAAGTACCATCCAGTCGTCCAGGACAAGTAGATTTTCTTGCTGGACAAGGAACTTTTCATTCTCTCTTGCTGTGTGTCTGCAACAGGGTTGCCCCAGGTCAGGAAATGATCGGGGAGAAAAATTCTTCAAGGTCAGGGAGAAGTCAGGAAATGTTATTTTGAGTCAGCAAAAATCGACTTTTTGATGAAAACAGATTTATATTAGTCATAATTAAGTGACCCATTAAGTTGACATCTATCTTGCCAGGGTTTAGAAGCATGAAGCTTTTAGGAGTATTTTCACTCCTCTGGATGAGGTGGAGGAGGTGTAGACCATCACAGGGTCACACTCTCCTCAGCACTTAATTTGTCAGTACTCATTAAAGGAGAAGGTCACTCCAAAAAGCTTACTTTTTTGTCTTCGCCCATAGCAAGAAAACATTCTCCCAATTTCAGCTTTTCCACTCGCAAAGTTTCAGCCTCTGAAGTGCCCATTATCCAGAGGAACTTCGTCTTCAAAGAAGCAAGGCAGTCATTTTGAAACTGTCTTTGCAGTCAGGCTGTGTTTACGTGACATCATTCTGTCCGACTCTAAATTGGCGGTAAGGAGAAAAGCCTGCAATCGACTTTGCATCCTTCACAAGGTCAGGAAAATGTATTTTTTCCAAACGATCATCCACTTTACTATCTTCAGTGCTATCACTTTGGTGGAGTTTGGAGCATGTTTGGCTCAAAATAATATGGCTCAGGAGCAGCCATAACCCAGAGTGGTAGTTAAAAGGCTAGTCGGAAACCATTTGGACAAAATCTCATGGACGGAATGATGTCATGAAAACACGGCCTGGATGCTGAGTACTGTTCAAAATGGCAGCAGTGATGTTGATGCTTCCTTGGAGACGAATTTCATAAGGAAAATCTGCACTTTAGAGGCTGAACCTTTGGTGAGTGGCTAAACTTAGTGCAAGGTTTTTATTGGCATTGACAAAAAATATACGTTTTTTGGAGAGACCTCCATTTATACAGTGGGTGGACAGAGAGATTGTGGCCTGAGTAAAGCATAATGACCATGGCTGAAGGGCCAAACCTGGACTGCATGATCTGATGCACTCTCTATTAGGCTGATGCAAATACCTTTGTTTGGTGTTTGGCCAGGCCTGATAAGCAACATTGCAATTATTGATTTCTTTTATATGGTAATATTAAGGATATCAAGGACATGTAAATTGTTTTAACTTTGAACTTTGCAGATTTGATGTTTACAGAAAAGTCCCAAAGGATTTAACTGAACCCACCCTGACAGGAGCAGTGAGTGAGTTCATTAATGATAGATAAACTGATTGTTACAAAACTTTGTTGTAAGTTACAGTATCATAATTTTTGCTTTTTTACATAGTCCATCATTGGTTTTTGTTAGTTGCGGACTGTTGTACATTGTACTCCGATTTTGCAAGCCTCCGAATACATGTGCAGTAGAATTGAACGTGGACACGAATATAGATTTGCTTAAAGTCTTATTTTAATCACCATGTGCTTGGCCCGACAAGAGATAACATGATGCATGGGGCGRGCATGCCCGTATATGATGTGTCARGCTGGACATACCGTGACAACATGCACCTCGTCTGAATCCACCGACAACCTAACCGAGTATTTATTTATTAAACCTGTATTATAATAGTAAGTAGTAACTATAGGAAATACACTACATCAGAAAGAATAGTTTTGCTTTGGAGTTTTCTACTTTCCTAGACAAAAATGAGTTTCATTTACAATTAAATGATAATCTGTTCCACTTACCTTTAAGGAGCTTATCGCAAGAGTTGTGATAAGCATCCCTGCTCTAGCTACTGTACTGTTATCCTGTAATTTATCAAATTTTACATAATATGTGGAATATATTAGATTGGTTCTTACTTATGATCAAATTTTAAGGAGAGATGCATCGATGATGTTATTAACATTTTTGTTTCTTTACAATATGAAACAGAAAGATTCTTTGTAGCCATGTGTCTGGTCAGTAATTAATTGGTTAGAGAAGATGTCAAAATGTGGTACAGTCTAAAAAACATCAGTGATACACGTGGCTATCATCTTGTTTGCCACTTTTTTGTTCTTACCACATTGTGATGTCATCTATGATCAATTACTGGACTGATGCACTGCAGCATGGAATGTATTTGTTAAACTGACCTGATATTCTACAATACAGTACTAGTTCTAATTTAGAATGCTACAGTGACCCTCCAAAAGTAGCCATGCTCTGAAAGCAGTGATCTTAATGCAACTAGAAAAAAGGAAATGGTAGAGAAGAATGAAACTGAACTGAACTGTTATTCGAGAGGGAATTTATAAGGTGCTACTTTGCTCTGGTGCTTTTTTCTCTCTATAATAAGACACCTGATGTGCTGTGTATTACAATTGCACAATTTGATATAAATTATTTATTACAGATAGGCACATGGATACCCCTGAGATAATATAAAACTTTGTCTACAAACTTATGAAGTGGCAGTGTCACTGAGCATTATTTTACAGATGTGCTTTTTCCTCAACAGTTTCCATATGCAGTTGCCTTTTTATAGTATTTCTGTTGCTATCAGAGTTTTACAGCTTTATAAACACCGAAATGTAAGTAAAGAAGAGTCATCTTTGGGGATAATTAATATGGTAAAATGATCATGGTTTGCAATACACATATCTTACTAGATGTTTTGGTGTGTAGTATCACTGTATATTTTTACAAGTTGTGCCGTATTTTGATGAGCCCGTAGGGTGAGTCAAAATACAAACAACAAGTAAAAATATAGAGCAATACTACACATTGGGATTTATTATCCAACTGCTGTAGTCAATAAATTTATTAATGAAAGAGGGAGAGTGTGACAGCTTTGCATGTGCTCACTGACCTGTACGGCAAACAGGTTTTCTACTGTACAAATAACTGTACAATATCGCTGTGTATTTGTACTGTTATTTGGATGGTATTCGCGGCAGTTGGATAATAAAATCGAGTATACAATGGCTTTAATGTTTCCTGTTTTCTGATCTGCTGTGTTTTCTATGGCATGGTATAAATGTAATTTGTTAAAAACTGGATCAATGTGTAATACTAGCCATGGGAGTGGTTTACACTCTAGGGCCAGCTGGTCACAGTGCCTCTAGACATCCCAGGCACCCATGGCCATCTTGCATACACCTGTACAGCTTGGTGCAGTTGTTAACATACAATAACACGAGGTTTAAGTTAGAATTTCTATTACGTTTGAAGCCAAGTACAATAACATGAATGAAACCTGATTGAACATAACCAGTTTGTTTAAGCAAACCTTACCAGTTTTACATCTGAAGGCCTCTCTTTACTAAGCAAAGCAAGCCAATTTTTTTCTAATTAGTACATGTTTTTGTTATTCATTTTATATTATTAACAGCAGGGTTGTCACATAGTTTTGAAGAAGTTAAGGTGGCTTTATTTTTAGAGTAGGCAGTTGATTTTGCCATCTCTTTCTAAACAATCGAATGAATAGCCTGGTGGAGTGCATGTAGCCAGCTCAGGGTGACTTTGCTGGGAGCTGGCCAGTATACTTTTGACAACCCTGCTGACAGTGACACAATAAATATTGTTACTGCCGGTAATTTTATTGAAAATAGGTGATTAAATAAATTTTGTGGTGTGTTTGGCTACACTTACCTGTTTCCTTGTTGTCATGTAGTGTTAGTGAGTTGTTTGTGGATAACCCGACAGAAAATGACAGGCTAGATGTCAAACTGAATATAACCTTACCAAGAATGAAGTGTGAACGTGAGTATTGAAGAAAGTGTCTATGAAATCATTCCTCTCACTATCTCGCTGTTGCATTATTTGCTTTTGTTAAGAATGATCCATGGCACCCTTTCAAGTTAGATTTGATGAAAGTTGAAATTGAGCAACTGAAATATCGTAGCAAAGTTATTAGCGAGGAAAGCTTAATCGAGATTATTTCCAGTAGTTTATATTTGTGAACACTATGTTGGTGAGGGAATTTGTCACTTGGGTCTCAGCTACATGTAAATGTTGCTCTGAAAACTTGCTCTGGGGTTTTTTAAGTTTTATCATCTGTGGTACTTTTAAAGAGCATTGAAGAAGTTAATACATTGTAAATGCAAGTTACCTCCAGTAGGCACATCTTACTAGCAAAATTTTAAAGTCAACAAACTCTGCTCTTTTCTGAAAATGATTCATCTGCTTTTTCTTCTGTAGATCTTGGCCTGGATATTCAGGATGAAATGGGAAGGTAAGTAAGGCTGCTGTCAACAATGTAAAATTTATCTTTTAGGAACTGGAATCTACATGCTTTGCTCTGATCATGTCTTAAGGGTATACAAAATACATGTCCTAGACCATAATATTATGTTAGAGAAACCTGGTATCAGAAAGTATAAGGACCTTTGGAACTTAGTATCACAGAGACAATGAATTTTTACTGATTTTGAGGTCAGGAAAGGAATTGGATGTTAATGATTTACATAGTGACTGTATTTCTGGCAACATTTATGTAGTTTGTGTCTTGCTGCTGACAGTATGTCATGGCTCACCCTGTTGCTTTATTGTGAGCTGTTTTTGCTCAATCAAGGTTTGCTCTGGTGTAATTATTTATTCATGTTAACATGCCAAGTTAATCATAGGATGTATTATTTTTGTTTTGACAGGCATGAGGTTGGGTTTCAGGAGAATACCCACAAAGAGGACATAAATCATGGAGGTAATGTTATATACTTGAAAAGAAAAGTAAAAAAAGTTATACTTCAAGGTATACTTCAGTTGTGTGTTTTTATACCACTCATATTGTTAAAACAAAACTCTTGAAGCTCAACAACAGACAGATTATTTGAGTTTGTTAATTACTAGTTTATTCAGATGGCAAAACAGTCAAATTTAATTCAAACTCTGGCCTGGGTAACCAATCAGTCTTGATGAAAATACTGAATCCAACAGTCATGCTGCTGTATTAGATCAACTAATAATTCACAGGGGCATGAATTTCCTTGAGTGACTCCAACACCTTGTCAGAAAATACTACTGGTATGTAGTGTGTGAAATCCACAACCCACTAGTAGATTCGATACCCACTGCTCTGTTGGTGATATCCAGCAGTGTCATTACTATCTTATGTTTGACGGAGTACTGGAGTACTGCTAGCTGACATATCTGTTGTTTTTCAAGCTATTGTCATGATCAACATTACTTTACTCATGCTCTTATTATGACGCTTGTCTTGCTGTTGCAGAAGGATGTCTGTTCTCTTGTAAGTTCAACATTAACAAGGTATGTAGGTTGACTACAGCATTGATCACAGAGGTATATGTAAGTTACTTGGCTCAAATAAGACATCCGTGTTTTGTACATGTAATCGAGTGAGCAATTGGTGACTGACACAAAATGTCTTTTGGGACTGTGCAGTTATTTACCCTTCTCATGGTTAACTTTTCTCATTTTGCATTAAAATGTAATCCAACAATGTGGTTTTTGTAGTTTTTGCTCAAAATTGGATTACATTATAACGCAAATGTGAAAAGCTACCATGAAAAGGCTATTGTACTATGTTCATGGGCTTCATTAACTCAGTATTTTCGGTATGACAGTGTGTTGAATTTAACTTCCTGTCTCTCGTTAGGTTCCTGGTAATTTCCACGTGTCCACCCATGGAGCAGGTGCTCAGGTGTGTTACTGTAGAACATTTTTATATGCTTCTCTATCTCATCGTCACATCTGAACTAACTGATTAAATTTTAGTCCTGTTTGTTTTACAGCCAGACAACCCAGACATGGCCCATGTTATAAACTCTCTTAATTTTGGAACAGAAATCAAGGTAAATATTGCTGAAAGTAAGATTTCATGCCTTGTTCTGTGAATTTCCATTAAAAACTGACACTTCTATAACAACTAACTTTCATTGAAATTGTGTTTTCATTGATATTAACATGTGTTTCTACTTACATAGGATAAACTACCGGGTGCTTTTGTGGCACTTAAAGAACGAGATAAAGAGACTGCCAACAGTAAGTAAAAGCGAGCTTGATGACATTTAAGGTTATTGAGCAAGAGACCATTACATGTTTGTTTAAAAAACAATGAACGTTATGCTACTAAAAGATCCCAACTACTCGCTCTCGATTTGTTTGAGCAACTTTTCAACTTGGCTACATCTCACTGACTTGGCTCTTTGCTTGAATATGTCAGTGGAAGTACAGTTGAATCCTGATTTCTCGAACCGTCGATTTTTGGAACCTCCTAACAACTTGAATCAAAAGTCTTTTCCCTCGCCTCCGTCGAAAAATCGGGATTACACTGTATTTTGATGTATAAGTTGATCAGTGTAAGTGTTTGTGCTTGTCTTGTTTTTTCTTCAACTTGATGTCTTGTAATGTTCTCTTTTTAGGTTTGTCGTCGCATGATTATGTATTGAAAATTGTACCCACTATTTATGAGAAGCTGGATGGCAGCACAACCTTCACCTATCAGTACACATGGGCTTATAAGGTAGTGATGGCATGTCAACTTTAGTATTTAAAGACTAGTAGTAATCAGAGATTATGAGAGTGCGTTCGACGCTCTCACTTTAATATATAATTATATTTCGTAAATAAATGATTTCATTAGCTGATTTTCAACCTTTGTCTATTGCTAAAATCAACATTTTTCAGCAGCAACCGAGGTTTTA